ATCTCTTTCAGCGACATTCGCGAGTCCATTCATATCCCGCAATCATTTGTATCTTTTCTATGGGCACGACTACTCCAGATTTATGCTTGTTCCTCTCACTGGTATGCTTACTTTTATTTGCTCTTTGAGTTTTGTTTTTACTCCAGCGCATTAACAGGCTTGTTCACTTACAGGATGCTGCGTTGTTTGTCAGCGGATTTGCGAGCAGGTCAGGTTTTGGCGCGGTGCCAGCCCGTTCTCCATTGATTGCGGTCGCTTACCAGCTCCCAAACCATTCTCCTGACGCGCTCCAGCATCCACAACGAACAAGACTACAGTGAGCTCTGGGAGTTAATGTTTCACCACAAATATCAAGCATGGTGGCAAGCAGTTGTTCAAGACACACTCCTTGCCCTAAATAGTCTCCCCTCTACTCAAGTCGATAAGTCCGTACCCCTAGACGTTTCCGAATCCCGTCTTTCCGTCTCTGCAAGGGAGGATTCGGCGGGTACTACAGAACTGGAAAGGGTGAGAATCCTGATATCCAGAAATTTCTATTCTTTCAATTAAGTACTGATCTTGTCACTCCCTCCAGAAACGATCCATGTCCAGCGCATATTCTGCTGTACACTCTTGACCCTAATCAACATATTTTGTTTCATTTTTTCATTCCATCATAATATATCTTGTCTATACCATGCAAATCCTACAGCTTCGTTCGCTGCGGGTGAGGGGCGTATCAAGGGGCTCGAACCCCTTTTCCTTTCGGCATGCGGAAAGACTGTATGATATCGTTCGTAGCAGTCACCAGGAGTTGCCGCTTAGCCGCTTCAGAACGTGGAGAATGTTCTGCCGTCAAATTCAGCCTCCCTACACACCCCATCATTCGCAGCGAACAAGACTGTACTTTCATACTAGTTGAAGATACTCAGAAGAGTGAAATAATCTTATTGCACCTCAGGTCCCTCTTGTGGAAAATGTGAACTTCGACGAACTCAGGGAACACCACCACCGGACGATTATATGAGTAAGACGGTGCAATGTTTTGAGGAGTTCGCGTTGATCTACGCCAATCAGAATGTCCGCAATCTCAGACCGAATTTCTATCTGCTCAACTTGACGTGAGTCTCATGTCACGAACTTTGGCAAAATTATAAATGAAAACTGCTTCATCAAAGCGGATTACTACTCGTCGAATAAATGAGGAGGCTGGAGTGGTTAAAAATTCCTGTTCTCTGGGAGGTTTTGGCTATGGAATGAGTAAAACCTAAGAAGTAGGTGATGTGCAGTTTATATTATCCATGTTGCGATCTCTTTTTCCTCCTTGCACATCAAGAAGAACCCTTCCATTCAGCCTTTTTCATTGGAGCCACTTTCTACTGCATAAAGAGTAATATACTTGCAGAATAATCAACAATGAACCACAATTGTAGGGAAAAAAAGTTGTTTCCAAAAAATGTTGGGGACACGTTCCACGGTCAGCAGATGGGCGGGACACTAGACACATTCTTCTCAGTGGCCTCTCGTTTAGTGTTTTTCGATAAGGCTTTCTCCAATGAGGAAGCAATAATAAAACCTTTCAGGTTCATTTGACCTACTACCTTTTTTTCAAAGAAATGACCATACCAGTATTTTTTCAGGAATCTCACCTGGTTACCGTTGAACCTCATGCTTTCACATCACTTCCCGAATGGAAAGATATCACTACAAAAGTGTGGCGAGGAGGTGGTCTATCTACATGGTGATTGCAATCTCTCCAACTGCGTTGAACGTACTCACCTCTATCAAATCGACGTTGAACCCCTTTCGGTAAGCGATTGCTTAGGAAAGTTCTTGTTCCTCAGTTTTCACTCAATGAGAACTTCACGTGCTTATACAGGGGGAGGGGCAAAAAAAGTCACTTCGACCGAGTCACATATCAGCAAAGTTTTCGCTGCCCAGACAGAGGACGTGGATACGAGTACCAGGGCGGAAGATACCCAAGATGTTCCTCGATAAGCAGGAGCTCTCGCCCATCACCTTCATGTACACCAAAATATGAAGTCATCTCCAGTCGCAGCCTGACTGGAGAAGACCTTTGGAATTCAT